TCTCACGCGCTACCAGAACGGCGAACCGGCAGCGAATCTGAACTACTCCTCTGATTCCGAAGATGACAGTGACATTCCTGTAGCACATCCGGTTACAGATTACGACATCCTTATTGACGCTTTACCGGCGGGAACCGTCAGCGATATTCACGAGATCGCAACAAGGATGGTGGCCGCCGGATACGGGAAGGAGTGTTCGCACGCGTACAGCGCCTGCAGGAGAGAGTTTCTGGAGGAGAGTCTGAGTAGACTGGGGTTGCAGAAGCTGAGTATTGATGAAGTGCAGAAAATGCAGTGGACTGAGCTGGAAGACGAGATTGAGAAATGGGTCAAAGCGGTCAACGTTGCGCTCCGGATTCTGTTCCCGAGTGAACGCCGTCTATGCGATCGCGTCTTTTTCGGATTCAACTCTGTTTCTGATCTGTCATTCATGGAAGTTTCTAGAGGTTCTACGATTCAGCTTCTCAACTTTGCTGATGCTGTTGCCATCTCAAGTAGGGCACCGGAGAGACTTTTCAAGGTGCTGGATGTTTATGAGGCGCTTAGGGATTTGATGCCTGAATTTGAATTGTTGTTTATGGATCAATATTGTGTGTTATTGAGGAATGAAGCTTTGACTATATGGAGAAGATTAGGTGAGGCTATTAGAGGGATTTTTATGGAGTTGGAGAATTTGATTCGCCGCGATCCTGCCAAAACGCCTGTTCCAGGTGGTGGGCTCCACCCGATTACTCGATACGTGATGAATTATCTCCGCGCAGCTTGTCGATCCCGGATTTCTCTTGAACAGGTTTTTGAGGAGTCTGCTAGTGCTGTTGATTATAGAGGAGAAGTGGATCATAGAGCGCTTTCATCGTCGCCCTTGGCTGTTCAAATGGCGTGGACCATGGAGTTACTTGAGAGTAATCTGGAAGCAAAATCCAAGATTTACAAAGACTCTGCTTTATTGGCTGTTTTTATGATGAATAATGAAAGATACATTGTTCAGAAGGTTAAAGATAGTGAGTTGGGATTACTTCTAGGTGATGATTGGATACGGAAGCACGCATCCAAAGTTAAGCAGTATCATGTCAATTATCAACGAAGTTCATGGAGTAAGGTTTTGGGAGCTCTGAAGATTGATAATAATGCTATGTCGCCTACTGGAGCATCAAGGTCTTTGAAAGAAAAGCTTAAGTTATTCAATTCCTACTTTGAGGAGATATGTAAAACACAATCCAATTGGGTAATCTTTGATGAGCAACTGAAGGAGGATTTGAGGAATTCCGTAGCTGGGATTTTGTCTCCAGCATACCGCAACTTTGTTGGAAGGTTGCAGAGTAGTCACGATGCTGGGAGGCATGCGGAGAGGCATGTCAAGTTTAGTGTGGAGGATCTTGAAGCTCGAATTACTGAGTTGTTTCAGGGGAACAATGGATCAGTTGGTGGCAGGAAGTGAGTACAAAGTCTGTAAGCAAGTGATTGCATCTCTTGTACCATATATGTATGCTAGTTTAGCTTTTAGAAATTTTGTTGTATGTTCATGTAATCCTGGTCAATTATGGCCTTTGTCAATTGTGCCTTCTAATATTTCTTGTACGCATTATCTTAGGCTTGATTAGTTGCTTGTGTTGGAAGAGCTTTGTGCCATATGGCTAGTTAATACTTTCAGAAATGAATATGACTTTTAGCGTTTATCTCTATTGCAATCTTTAATCGGAACTAAACCTTCTCTGACGAGAAGACAATATCTTACCAGACAAGAACAAACCTTCGTCGAAGCTACTCATTTTCCTTAAACATGCACTTTAAATGACTTCATTCATATTGAAATTTAATAAGATATCCCGGTAACCGATTTCAGTACTAGGTCATACATATTTGTAACTTTGCAGTTCCAGAATACTTAGAAGGAACTTGAAGTTTGTATAAGTCAATTAATGGGTTTTGTTGTGTGATAGTTTGTGATGCAGTAGTTTCTTCATTGCCATATTGGAAAGATACCGGTAGGCTGATTCACCAGGATGTATACTGTCCCAGAACAAGTATTTAGAAGCATTTTTGCAGACAGGACGGTGTTTGTTACAGAATGGACCTGCTTCATAGGTACCACTGCCACAGCACCCTCGTCTAGTTTTCACAAATCCTGTCAAATCGATCTTTTACATCAGAAAAGATGATGCTGTCTGTTCATAAATATAATTTTGTTTTATATTGCTTAAGGGAACTTGGAGGAGAGTGGAAGCCTACCATATTTTTTTGGATGCTTGATCATGTGCATGAAAGGATGATATGTATCTGAATACAATACTTTGCTTCCTGAAAGTGCTGCTTGTACTTGTTTTAGCAACCTTGTGAGTTTCGCATTATAGGATTGAGCATCAAAATTCTCCTCTTCAATGCACTTTCTGAGCAATGGGGACTTTGCAGTTATTTGTATTGGAAGACAGCCAACAGGAGGAAGCCCGGCAACAAGCATCTTACGACATCCAAGATTATATAGATCCTGAAAAGGTAATGTAACAATAAATGTTTTTATTTTTCTCTACCTGCAATTTAGTATATGATGTCTCACTGGTGGTTGGATATATGACTTTGGGATTTGGGGGATCAAATAAAGATGGACTTATATTACCTCTACAAAGTTCTGGAGCTGGATCTGCAAAAAATCTTGATATCCAGTTATATTAAATTGATTCCTCCTTGTTGGGATATCATAGAAGTTGAAGATGAAATCGTTAGTCCCTGCACTGATGATAACCAAAGCAGCACTGACAATTTTTTGAGCTTTCTCTTCTCCTACAATCTCCTGGAGCTTCTCTATGTAGCGCTCAAAATATTTGATTTGCTGGGACATGGGGATTGCTTTAGATGCGGCTGTGGTTAGGTCGTCGTATCCAGAGCCAGCAGATGCAAAGCTGACGCCAGTTAGAAGATCATGTTTTGATAGATATGGTTGTAGAAAAGGAGGAACATATTCCTTCAGGCCTAACATGGATGCTAAAAAGTCAGGAACAAGTTTTCCATCTGAAAACCTTCCTGTCGGAATCCGGCCAGGGAAGTTTTCGCCATAAGGCCGATGATTACCTTGAAATATCGTAGAGATGTAATTATTGTTGCCAGTATCAACTGTTGAATCTCCAAAGATGAGGATGGCTGAGAACTTGGGCAAAGATTTGCCATTGCAGAGTTGCACCAACAGGATGAAAAAAAAGCTGGTAATACCCATGGACAAGATGGTAGGCCTTCTTGGTTGTTCAAAATATATGCATTGGCTCTTATCTGGAACTGAAAAGTTTGACTAGTCCTTTGTACGTAGTTGAACAAAAAAAATGTCCTATTTATGGTTCTGAAAATTACTCGTATATTGGAGGAAAATTAAATATGCCTATGGTTTCATCAAATTATAGGATTCGAAAGTATTAATAGTTGCGTAGACCTCATTAATAGTTAGTGCAATTGCTGATTAGACTATATTAATGAAGGGCACTAAAAACCTGGAGACACTGGTCCCTCGTTTGATCTATTATTGACAGTCAACTTATTCATTATTAATTATTCAATGAGGGTAATATTACATAGATGAAGCGCAAATTGAATTAATTCTTTAGTGATCTTTCAGATTGAAGGTAATCCTTAATTCTTGACCACTAATGGGAGCGCTATTTGAGGTTTGTCTCAACATAGTTTAGTGTTGAATAATCTAGAAGAGGGCTATAAATCAAGTGTAGTGCAGTCAACTTCAAAGCTTTTATATATTGGAAAAAAAGGGTCTTGACACGTGGATATTTTAATGATCAATATGCGACAAGTACAACAACAATAACAACAACCCAATATAATTTCATAAGTGGGGTCTGGCGAGGGTAGTGTATACGCAGACCTTACCCCTATCCCGACGGAGTAGAGGGGCTGTTTCCGATAGACCATCGACTCAAGAAGAAGAAAAGAGACAATAAATGAGTAAGAACATTAGAAACCAGAAAGATAATACCAGCATCACAAGAACCAGAAAATAGATCGAAAAGCAATAACAATAACCAGTAATAATTGCACGATACTACGAAAACGAAAAAGGACAGATGAATGTGCCCAAGGCAGACCTCGTACCTTCTGCAGAAATCAAGGACTATGGGGTCCACGGGGGCAAGTGTGAAGGGGTATGTGTAAGCACTTAGATACCCCTCCACATAGTGGTAATGTCCTCGTCAGGACCGGGGACGACCACCTATTTGCCCTCCCATTTGCAGTCCTCCCGGACCGTAGAGAGTGTATCCTCGGTAATGGAGCATATGTACCTCCATACTTCCTCGCCCCGATCCTATTGCCTGGAGGCTTTTTCGACTTTGAAGTCGTTTTTAATAGAGCAGCCTCCGGGGATGAAGTTCTTCATGGGAGGTTCCGGGGCCACCTCAGCATCCGTGGCCGGATTGGAAGTTAAAGGGACAATCTGCTGAGGCACAGATTTCGAAGTCTTTGCCATCAAATTCTAGGAAATATGAAGATTGGAAGGAGGGGATGAAGATTTGAAGATGAGGATGAAGGTTTAAAGGTCAAACTTGAAGGTTTGAAGATGGAATATGAAGATTTGAAAAGGGGAATATGATGATAGGAAGGTGTATAGAACAATGTATGAAGATTTGAAGATGAGGATGAAGGTTTAAAGGTCAAACTTGAAGGTTTGAAGATGGAATATGAAGATTTGAAAAGGGGAATATGATGATAGGAAGGTGTATAGAACAATGTATGAAGATTTGAAGATGAGGATGAAGGTTTAAAGGTCAAACTTGAAGGTTTGAAGATGGAATATGAAGATTTGAAAAGGGGAATATGATGATAGGAAGGTGTATAGAACAATGTATGAAGATTTGAAGATGAGGATGAAGGTTTAAAGGTCAAACTTGAAGGTTTGAAGATGGAATATGAAGATTTGAAAAGGGGAATATGATGATAGGAAGGTGTATAGAACAATGTATGAAGATTTGAAGAGGTTAAGAACAAGTGAAAAGTTCGGGAATAAATTAAGGAGTTCTGGAGTCGGAAAGTAAAAAAGTGAAAAAATGACCGAAGCTTTTATAGAGAGGGAGTAATCAATGTGTGACGTTTCGCATTCGAGGACGTTTAACCGGCAGCTGACACGTGGTTTCACTTACCCGTCAACTCAGTTATAGCAAACGGAAGAAGGAACCAGGATCAATTAATCGCTTCCCGTCACTTCGATAAATTTACTCTCTGAAAAGCGAAGGGACTATCTGTGTACAGGCAAAATCGGGGGCAAAGTTTTCCCCGATTCCACGATAAGGAAACAAGAGGGAAGCACGGTTCGACACCACTACAAGCAAGGCCGAAGGACCCCTCGTATCGAAACCCGAGAAGAGTGAACGATATATCTGGGATCGGGCACGACAAAATAACGCACCCGGACCAAGTAGAGTTTTGAGACCACGAAAAAAGGAGTAACGATTAGGCGTGACAAATAGGGAGCCGTAATATTCGCCCTCAACCGGATATTACAGCATAAATCCCGCCCGACATCAATTGCGGATCGGCATTTACCGGAAAAAGAAGATTTTTACCTTATTTAGACTTGTATTAGGACTGAAATTCCCCTAATGTATAAAGGGGAGAGTTTTTTTTTAATTTTGACATATTGTTGACATGCAAATCGAAGCAATAAAAGTTTATTTTTGTCTTCTAGCTGTTATTCAAAGTATTCTTTAGTTATTCTCTTCTTTAATCGCAACCGAGCTTATATCGAGGATCCAATCGAGGCCGAATTTCAGCGTTCAACTTAAGATCGGGCTTGATCATCACATTACAATTAGTTTGATCGTTCATTTTATCTTTAACTTAATTACTTGTTGTTCTTAAATCAGTCGTATTGAATTAAATCACATATCCTTTAAACTGCGTACAAATTTAGTTGTTACTCATTTTTTTAGGGTAAATAGCTATGTTTCAGATTATTGCTGGTATTGTGAAGAGGATGGACAAAGGTGCTGTGATTGAGAACATTGGTGCCTGAGCTTTGCATTAAGGACATCATCTTTGAGCGACTTCGAGCTTCAGTTGTTGAATGTTAATGGCAGTATGGGCTTTCGACCGTACATATTCAATGCAAGTGTTAATGTTAAATCAGTGTTTATGGTAATTTTTCTTTGACTCACTTAATGTGAATCTGGGTAGAGAAGTAAGACCATGAGATAGTGTTGCCTTTTCCAAGTGAGAATAGAATAATTAAATTTGATTGTGCTTTGTGTTGACGATTTGGAAGTATACAAGCAAGATAAAATAACTGTGCTAGCTCGGTAACGAGGATAAGATTGCAAGCGAAACAGATAGCTAAAACTGCACCTGAGGCAGATTGATCAAAAACTATACGTGGAAAATCCAGGCGGGCCTTGCAATTTCAGCATAACATATCAGCATGTACAGGTGATAAAGCTAGCATTTACAATACCTTTAAAGCAGATAAAGTATGAAACTCCAAAAATACCCTTGTAATGAAGCAAGCATGTTGAGGGAGGGCTGCTAAACTCTCACTTATATAATAAGAGGATAAATTTCGCTCATCAGTGCTCCTAATTTTTTTTTTTAAAAAAAACATATCGAATAGACGGAAACTGTACCATACTAAGTTCGTTAATAGTTACCAATTTATGCTAAAGTAGTACTATTTGTTAATCTTTTTTTAGGTCAATCTTAACAAAGATCATTCCGCAGTAAAAGAAAGTTCGAAATGTTGAGAGTTGCACACAAATAGAGACACACAAATAGAGAATCCAATACATCAGTCGATTCTTGCATCAAATGGCAATTTATCCTTTCGCAAATGGTGGAAAACATAAAGTAGTCACGAAACCGTAAAAGGCGAAGGAGGGAATTCGAATGGGCTTTCATTTCCTTTCGAGAGATTTACATTTGAAATGCTTATATTCACTTTTTGACTACTTATAAACACGCATCCCTGTAAACAAGGAAAACCCCAAAAGGGTTAAAAAATAATTATGAAAATTAAAAAAAGGGTCCAGCCAGGAACGAACCCAAGTATATATATATACTGATCGGAATACTATTCTACCACTAGTGCTTATATGAAAAATATCCAATATATAATTTTGTATATAATAGAGATATTGAAAGATGTAGTTTATTAAGGAAATTCATCAAATATTGTGGAACATTTCAAAATTCAAAAGTTGCAGTATAGGTTTATAAGAAAGAATAGATGCACTTAGGAGGCGGATCTAAATTTCTTCCATTGCACCAGAAAAGTTTTTGATGATGTACTTATTATAGAACTTCTCTCTCCTGTATGTGCTTGTGTTTGTGTGCATAGGATAGGATCAATAGAGCAGAGTTGAGAGATGGAGACACAATCAGAATGGGCTCTCTGATAAATATTCTTGACCAGGAGATATCTGGTTGACAATGGTGTTTTTTACAACAGGTGAAATGCTTGATGAAATTACAGGTGAAAAGCTCGTTCCAAATAAATCTTAGCACGAATGATGATGCTCATTTCAGTGTCTTTGGTCAGGTGGAGGATGTCACCGTCGAGGACGAGGGAAACAATTCCAGTTTTAAGAGCTAAAAAGAGGTATGGGGCAGGAGCTGTCGATCTGCCAATTCTATCGTCTATACGATTCCTGGTATCTTAATCATGAACAACTTTGCTGCATTTTGTACATCTTTGCTGCATTTTGTATAACTTTACTGCATTTTGAATGTTGGATCCCTTTCAATGTTTAGACTAATAGTTAAAAAACATTGAACAAGGCGGAATAAGGGCAGGAAGCAAAATATTGCCACAGGAATGAAAATGGTACAGTTCTCTTTTAGAGCATCAAACATTCGTGGTGATCAATGAATAATCAAAATTTTCTTCAGTTTTCCAATCCAGTGGACCCTACTTTTCCATGAGAATCTCCAAAGCAGGTACAATGGATTTCCACGCAACAAATGCAGTTGACCGATGCTAAAGGGGACACTCAATTATACCAATTTATTAGAATTGAATAAGTTACCCGTTATACATACTGCTACACGGAGTTTGCTCTCCTCTATTTTCGTGTCTTAACTCTCCCAGCGAGTAGAAGTCGTCTTCCATCACAGAAGAAAGTCAGATGTATGCAGAATACAACAGTTGAGAAATGATACCTCACACAACTGCTGGCGGTATTCAGTACTCAGGTCACACTACTGCTGGTAGTATGCAGCTCTTGAAAGAAGGATTTGCCAGCCTCGTATGTCGACCAGCAAATTGCAGCAGCCGGAGCATGGAAGAGCATTGTTTACCCGAAAAACGGATAGAGTTGAATTTGTACGTAATTCTAAGAATATGTAGTGCAACTTAATACAAATTACAGGGATAAATAAAAATACCCAATATGGGTTGAAAAGAATGCTAAATAGATAAGGTTGCAAG